CCTAGACTAATTTCATAGTATCAAGCTTTATCTTTAAAAACAAACACTCAAACATTCATTTAACACATGATGTTTGTTGCTGGCAATAAACTGTTAAAGAAGAGAAATGTGATCTTAATTTATTATTTGTTATGAAGACATATTAATTTCAACTGCATCACAACCACACTGAGGGTAGATGGGATTCAAGGAAAAACACCCAAAGATAAGACTTTTTGTCAAATTGGCATTGTTGAAGGTGGCATGGTAGTTAAGGCACTGGACTCTCACATGGCCAACTGTGTTTCAAGTGCTGGACCCAGCAGGTTGTGTGTGTGTGCCCACAACCCTGAGATAAGAAAGGAAAAGGGATTGTGGTGTAGCTGTCCCCACGGTGGGGGGTGATTTCTCGCTTTTACCTCTCTCTGTCTCTCTCTGTTACTCTCTGTGAGTACATGTACACTATGGTAAACAGCAAAAAAAAAAATAATAATCATAATTAAAAAATAAAAGTCAAGCATATTTTCAATTATTTTCATTTTTCAAAATTTTATACACTACATATATAAACTTTTCCCTAAATCCCAAATCTTTACAGTAAAAGCCATATTATTTTCTATATTGCTAATGATTCACATATATTTCTGCATACTTAGTATTCATGAATTTATTTTAAATTTATTTTTTTTTCTAGCTAATGAAATACTAAATGCCATTTTCCTTTAAGGTGTATGCTCTTGCGAAAGAGAGACTGAGAGGAGAGAACGAAAGTGAGAAAGTGAGAAGTCACCTCCTGGGGGTGTGGCCATGTTGTAATCCCTTCTCCTCCATTCTCCTCTGGATTTTGAGCTTGAAAGTACACGTGCCTCATGTAGTTTCAAGCTTCTGGTTTCGGGACTTGAACTGTATAGTCAGCCATGTGGGATCCAGTCTCCTTAACCACCATGCCACCAGCTGGCCTAAATGCCTTTTTAAATGTATATAAAATCAGGAGATTTAATGTTACATATTTAGTATTGATTAAATACTTTAGTCTTCAAATATTTTTGGAAGGAAAAGAAGACACCTCAGGCCAATATATCACCTGGTGTATAGAGTCAAATGAAATAAGTAATTAAGTAAAATTCAACACGATAGATCTCAAATACAGATAACTTGAGTGTTAAAAATATAATTTGCCTTGCAAAGGATGATTTGAGATACACATATCTATACATTTACAGCTTTACTGACTGTGGAAATATATGGAGAGGGGATAGTTGGGGACACTTTAATAAGGCAGGACTAGAGGATTGTGTCAGGTTAAATTGGTCACATGACTTCATTGCCATCTTTGTACTTGCTGTAGTTTTTGCTCTCACCTGTGCCACATTGTCAATGCAGGCATGCCTCTTGGTCTGTATCACAGATATCTAATTCTTATACATTATTCAAGACACCGAGACCTTCCTAACCATCTCGAGGCATATACTGGACTCTCCTCTGACCTGTAGCTTGTATTGTCAGCTCAATTAAGGCTGACAATATATGACTCTGTACTGTCTTTTCATAGGTAGGTCTCCAACTAAACTGTAAGCTTCCCCCACCCTGGTTCTTTACCAGGCACTGCAATTGGTATAATGACATAGTCACAGAAAGTTCTTAATAAATGCTTAATGTTACTTCTCATTATTACAGGGTAGACTCTGTACCAACTAACTGGACCAATTGCTCACTACCCTCTGGCCAAATCTGGTCCAAGCTTTTAGACAGTGGGAACAGGCTTTTCTCATTACATTCCCAGCTCAGTTGTTCGAATCAGATACAAATTGATAGTGAGTAGAAGTTATTCCAATCTGACAGCTGTCCAGTGTCTTGTTTGTGGAGAGAGGAAATGAGAACATGTTGACTATGTTCCTTTTTCTGATGGGCCACAAGATAAAATGTGAAGAAAACAGGAAGGACCTAACATCATGACAATCAAGAATGTTCCCACTCTCAGCTTGGTGTTGTGCTCAGCCTTGTCAAGGAAACAAGACGGCATGTCTACAGTCTCCTTAAACAAATGTAGAGACTAATTCTGACAGGATAGCAAAAAACCCAATGGTATTTCTGTGTCTTCTTTACATTAATAGATGATATTGGTCTCCATGGCTGCCATCGTATCAGCACTTTTCACTGACACTGAAATTCATCTTCCAGTACAAAATCAGAATCAAAACAATCCACGGATGGGATGTTACTAGCTGAGTTCATGAGTTTTTCTCAAGATGCAAATTTATTATTTTACTTATTTTCAGGAATGGAAAAACATGACCTTTCTTACTCTTGCTCCATCTTAGCATCATGGGTTGGTAAATACATTCTATTTTTCCCTAGATGTTTTATTATTATTACCGTATTTCCACAGCAGAAAATGTGAAGGGGGAGAAAGAGCAAAAAAGTAAAATATAAAATAGGGAAAAGAAAGAAAAATGCAGAATATCAGTCAGGCTTGACGAGGTTCCCCTAAGAATAGATTACCTAGTCTAATGTTGTGGAAAAATGACTGCTATACATCAGCAGAAGAGGTCAGAAAATTAAATTTTATGTGTCTTGCCTCGAAAAAAAAGTTTGGCTGAAAAATAGAATCCTTCATGCCTTGGTGGAAATTTTAAACATTTCAATTCTGTTTTACAAAAAAATTTAAAAGCCAAAAAAATGAAAACAATAACAGCAACAACAAAAAAACTTCAAAGTGAAAGTCACCATGAGTCAGGGAACAAGATAAGATTTTAAAGCCATAATGAGAGAATGCCTGTGAAGGGACATGTGCCATGCATTGAGTCCAGCCACAGGGGTGACAGGAAAGGTAGCAGGAATATTTTGGTAAATTCTTGAATTCTATAAGGTTTGGATTAGAAGAAAAGTTGTGGCATAATCTATAGTTATTCTTCTTGTCTAATAGACAACACCTTGGAGAAT